TGTGATGTGCCCAGTGTGGGTACTCCGGGCACTCCAAGCCAGGACTGGTTTTCAAGCGGGGCACCCCTGAGAACTGTCTGTCCGGGGTGGGGGTCGGGTCCCTTTAAGCGCAGCCCTCGGCTAGCCTGAGACAGCATCTCCACGCTCTAAGTCCTCCTCTGATGCCCTGCCGGCACTGCTTCCGGCCATCCTTAAGCCCTGTTCAGGGTCCATGTGGACTTGCTAGTTCGAATTAGCAAAACGCTAATTCGAACCAGTTTTTAGTTCTAGACGCGTTAGTTCGAATTAGCTTAGTTCGAATTAACTAATTTGAACTAAGTTAGTTTGAACTAACTCTGTAGTGTAGACGTACCCCCAGTGACCCCTCTCTTAATCCCATTGGGTTTTGTTGGGGCTATCGCTAGCCTGTCCCTCTAGCAACTAGCACCAGCCATGGCTGGCTCCAAGAACTGACGGACTCCAGCGTGGTGTGCGGGTGGGGGCGTTGCCAAGTGGTCGGCCAATGCTGGGTGCTCACAGCTCGTGCGGTGCGGCGGGTGGTGCTGCAGGGCTCCTGGGGACAGTGGCTGGTTTGAAGTCAGTGCAGTGCTGCTGAGGCGCAGGGGGTCAACTTGCCACCCCAACCGCCCACGGGAGAGCCTAGGAACCGGGTTCCGGGCTGGGTCTGCGATGCTGTAGCCAGCCGGGTGCTCCTGCCAGACTCCCAGTGCTCGGCCAGCATGTCCCCCCGGGCGCTGCAGTCCTGCTCAGCCCTTGCCATCTCGCCGGGCTCCCTGCCAGCTGCGGGTCTCGCCCCCGACACCCCGGCTTAGCCTGGCAAGTGGCTGCTGCAGCTGCCCTGTGCCCCAAAGCTGCCAGGCGCTTCGGGCTGGTTCAGGAGAGTCCTCGCCCTGGGGCACTGCGGGCAGATGAGCAGAGCAGCCCAGGGGCCGGGGATGGCTGAAAGCGCGGCACAGGCAGCAGCAGCCATCCTGGGAGGGATCCGAAGGCCCCGTTGCTCCGGTGGCGTCGCCGTTCTCTGAGCTGGACAGGGCTGGTTTTAACGTGGCGCGGTCTCCTGACCTGGGGAGCGTCTGAGGCCTCATCAGTCGCTGCGATCACTGGCCTTACGCCGGCAGACTAAATGCCCCATAGACCAGACGCCCCAGCAAGATCAGGGCCCCGTTTGTGCCAGAGCTGCCCTGGCCCAGCGCCCTGCACCTGGCCAATTCCTCACGGGCCCCATGGCAGAGCTGGGTTGGAGGGGCAGAGTGGGGGCTCTCCAGGAGGAAGCCTGTGGGAGAGCAGGTAGTGCCGGTTGGGCAATGGGACCCACGAGAGGAGGCTGAGCCCGGAGCAGGCCCCAGCTCTGTTTGCCCAGCCACTCAAGTGGCAGCCCTGGGTTCTAGCTGGGGAACGCCCTGGGGAACTGCCCCCCGGCGGCTGTATCCTCCCTGCTGCCCAGAGCACCCGCTGCTCGCATTAACTTCCTAGCTACGCGCTCCCCTATCTCAGCCCCCTACGCCCCTGCTGGAGTGGAGGGGGTCCCCAAGAAGGGGCTGCTGCACTGGGGGGGGTTCCGCCCGAGAGCCGCGGGGCCAGACGTGGGCACGACCTGTGAGCCATGACACTAAGGCACTGGCAAATTCTAGGGTTTGGGCAGAAAACTCAGCAGTGAGCTGACAGGACCACTGGCTCGAACTCCTGTAGAAAAGAAAGAAAGTTTAAATAAATATTAGAGCCGCTCCATTCTGCTATTAACATGCTGACATCCTGGGACACTGGTTAGTCTGAAAAATGTGATGTCTTAGTAACTGCAGAGAGAGAGAGAGAGACCCCGTCCGGACCCGTGGGCTCTGTCTCAGCTCTGGAAGAGGAGCGGGGTCTAGTGGGTTACAGAAGATACACTTGTGCTCTATATAAGATCAGAGCGGCCAGGCTGGGTCAGACCAAAGGTCCATCTGGCCCAGTGTCCTGTCTGCCCACAGTGGCCAATGCCAGGTGCCCCAGAGGGGCTACGTCTAGACTGGCATGATTTTCTGCTTTAAATGGAAAAGTTTTCCGTTAAAAGCATTTGCAAAAGCATTTGCGGAAAAGAGCATCTATATTGGCACGGACGCTTTTCTGCAAAAGCACTTTTTGCAGAAAAGCGTCCGTGCCGATCAAGACGCGGTTTTGCGCAAAAAAGCCCCGATCGCCATTTTTGCAATCAGGGCTTTTTTGCACAAAACAATAATGCGTTGTCTACACTGGCCCGAATGGGAGCAGCATAGCATTTCCGCAAGAACACTGAAAATCTTACATGAGATTGTCAGTGTTCTTGCAGAAATTCAAGCGGACAGTGTAGGCGGCTGGCAAGTTTTTCCGCAAAAGCAGTTGCTTTTGTGGAAAACCTTGCCAGTCTAGACACAGCCAGGGAGTGAACAGAACAGGGAATTTCCCATTCCCAGCCCCTGACAAATGGAGGCCAGGGGACACCATTCCTTACCCATCCTGGCTAGTAGCCCTTGATGGACCCAACCTCCATGAACTTATTTTGTTCTTATTGGAAGCCTGTTATGGTTTGGGCCTTTCCCGGCAAAGAGTTCCACAGGTTGACTGAGAAGAAATAATTTGTTTTAAATCTGCTGCCTATAGATGTAATTGGATGAGTTTCTTGTGGTATGTCAGTGAAGGCGTAAGTGACATTTCCTTATTCTATTTTCCCATATGATTCATGATTTTCTAGACCTCCAGCATCTCCCCCCACCCTTTGGTCATTTATTTTCCAAGCTGAAAAGTCCCTGTCTAGTTCATCTCTCCTCATTCGGAAACTTTCTTGCCCCATATCATTTCTCTTGCCTTTTCGATATCTTTTCCAAATCCAATAGATCTTTGTTAGATGGGGTGACCAAATCTACATACAGTATTCAAGATATGGGCATACCATGACTTTATATAGAGGCAATATGGTATTTTCTGTTTTATTCGCTAGTCATTTCCTAATGATTCCCAATATTCTTTTAGGGTACGTCTACACTAGCCCCCTAGTTCGAACTAGGGAGGCTAATGAGGGCGACCAAAATTGCTAATGAAGCGGGGATTTAATATTTCATGAAGTTTAACTATTAATTCAAACTAAGGGGTTTATCTCGGAATCGCGCTTCTCTGCCGCGTGTAGACGCGGGCAGTTACTTCGGGCTAGTCAGTTTCCAAAATGGCGACCGGCCGGGACGATGCTAATCAAGCGGGGGATATTTAAATCCCGCACTTCATTAGCAATTTCAGTCGCCCTCATTAGCCTCCCTAGTTCGAACTGGAAGGCTAGTGTAGACGTACCCTTAGTTTTTAGACTGCCCCTGCAAGCGTTTTCAGGGAATTATCCACAACGATGCCAAGATCTCTTTCTTGAGCACTAACAACTATTTTAGACCCCATCCTTTTCGTATGGGATTATATTTTCCCGTGTGCATTACTTTGCATTTCTCAACGCTGAATTCCAGCTGCCCTTGTGTTGCCCAATCACCCCGTGGTGTGAGATCCCTTTGGAACGCTTTGCAGTCAGCTTTGGACTTACTACAAAATTACTCCAAATAGTGAACTGCAATGTTTGTCTCCTCACTATTTACCCCTTTTTCAAGACCATTGATCAGTTAGCAGTGCTGGTCCAAATACAAATCCAGCAGAATAACATTGCTACTCCCCCTACCTTGTAAGTGCCTGGCAATGTTTTCATTAGCGTCAGCTTTTGTTAGTCTATAACAGTGCTTCTTAAACTGTGTTCCGTGGCACACAGTCAGAGGTGTGCCACGGAGCGCAACAGAGTTCAAAATGGCTGCCCGGAATGGGGCAAGTGACCTTTTTTTTTTCTCAATAACTTTCCCCCGACCCTTTTTTTTCTTTTCTCAATAACTTTCCCCCTAACCCTTTCCCCCCCAACCTTTTTTTTCTCAACAAAAAAATCTTTGGTGGTCCTCATAAAAAAAATATTGTTTGGTGTTCCTCGGTCTTAAAACGTTTAAGAAACACTGGTTTAGAAAGTGCTACCAGACCGGTTTTTGTTTTTTAAGCTTAGCAGTGTTTTCATTGTAATCTAAGGATCCTTCAAGGCCTTTTGTTATTCTTATTCACCTGCCTCCCTCCTTTGATGACAACTCCCTACCCCAAAGGCAAACCTGCGGGCAGCTCAAACTTTCTAAAAGCTGCCCTGGAGCCAGGACCTCCAGCTGTAAGCCGACCTCAGGGATGAAACCCAGGGACTCCAACTTTACAAGGGCCCCCAAGCCCTGCCTTGAGCCGCTATCCATCAGAGTTTCCTTATCCTGACAGCATCTCTGTCCTTTTGAACTGAGCTACACCCAGTCTGACTTGTCTGCGTTCCCACAAGAATTGCACGTGTTTGTGAGCGTGTTTTACAATCGCTGCACGTAGTGTTAACACAATGCCTGACCCAACACCAGCCAAGTTGCTTACCCTGCCCAAAGCATAACTGCGTCAGCTGATTATCTGACAGTCTTAACACATCTAAACAAAGCAAGGACAAACTAGTTACAGAGCCGTACATGGGCTTCTCTCCCCTTCCAACTGGCTGCAAAGGAAGCATTCCTCCAGACCCTGCTTCCACCAGCGTGCTGGTCAAAGATGCGTCTACAACCTTTTGGCTGCTTAAGCCTTGTCTCTCCATCTTGTTTCTTTGCCCTGCACAATAAACCTCCAGACGGATCATGTTTGGATGGGTTACAAGCAGAGTCTCCTGTGTGAGAACCAAGGTCCAGCTGAGGTCATATAAGGGACTTGACCTGACTCCTGCTGTGATTCTTGGCGGACAGGGCCATCTGGTGCAAAACCAGGCCCCCTGGGTGGCGAGACAGTGGCTACCCAGGGGGCCCTCCTTAAGGCTGTTCTGGGGCCGGAGGGGTGAGCACTTGGGAAATGGCTGCTGAGCCGTAAGTAGAGAGGGCGCTGCCCAGGTGGGGCCCGTGCCTGGGGTCTAGCAGGCTGCCCTGAGTCAATACCCCACCGCCAAGCCCTGATCTACACACACAATTCCTACGCTATAACCACGGCTCTCGGGGTAGCCACCAGCGATCCCTGGAAGCTGAGTGTTCTTGCACAAGAGACCTTACACTTGTTAGAAAAGAGCGTAGCTCTTGCGCAAGAAGCCCTCTCTTCCCACACCGTACTGTAAATCTTCTTGCGCAAGAGCAGGCAGGTAGCATGCACGCTCTGCAGAAGAACTGCTGTTCTTGCACAAGAACTCGCCAGTGTAGACATAGCCAAGGAGTCATTCTTCCGTTCTACTCTGCGCTGATTAGGCCTCAACTGGAGTCTTGTGTGCAGTTCTGGGCACCACATTTCAGGAAAAATGTGGAAAAATTGGAGAAGAGCAACAAAAATGATGACCGGTCTAGAAAACATGCCCTAGGAGGGACTGAAAGAACTGGGCTTGTTTCGTTTGGAAAAGAGAAGACAGATGTCACGATAGTGATTTTCAGATTTCTGAAAGGATGTCACAAGGAGGAGGGAGACAAATTGTTCTCCTTGGCCTCTGAGGACAGGACAAGCAGCAATGGGCTTAAACTGCAGCAAGGGAGGTTGAGGTTGGACAGGAGGAAAAACTTCCTGCTGGGTGGTTAAACACTGGAATAAATTGCCTAGGGAGGTTGTGGAATCTCCATCCCTGGAGATATGGAAGAACAGGTGGGACAGACACCTGTCAGGTATGGTCCAGCCGGTGCTTGGTCCTGCTGTGAGGGCAGGGGACTAGACTTGATGACCTCTCAAGGACCCTGCCAGGTCTAGTGTGCTAGGATTCTACAAAAGGGACTTGGTATGCTCCCTTCAGCCCTGGCTTCTC